GATGCAGATTTGTTGCTCTACTTGCTCAGTCATTTTGAATGAGAGGGCCACACAGCACACATGCTCACTCAACAGCATCTACTGCCCCCACTCACTAGCACAGTGAAGTTGTCTTTGTTCACTCACATTCCAGTCCACTTTCCTTGGCTTTCAGGTTACATTGGTGTCACGCAAACCGTTCTAGTTATATTAACAATGGCTGGGTGTTTTCCGGACAGACATTGTGTGTACACATATGCATAATAGGTTTATTTAAATAAAGATAGCTTAATAACCTCAAAGACCAGGTTGTTTTTAATCGAAACCATAGGGATGAAGATTGATTCTATGATAAGAGAAAGTCCAAGAAAGTATAGTTCTGTTAAGCACCAGGTGAATCAGGCTATACCTTTCATTTCCAGCCTCTCCTCTTTTCTCTCTGCATTTCTTCTCTCTGTCTTTAATTAAAAAGCAAACATCTTTTAAGAAAGCTCAATTTCAGAAGTTCCTATTATGCCCCACTCTACAGATTTATAAGGAGGCAGAAACACTACTTGTAATTTGCTGGAAACTGGAGAAAAATGAGGTGTCTCACCAAAGAATCAGGAAATAACATGAAGACATGAAAAAATACAGCCAGTGCTTCTCTGGCTTATGTAGGAAAATCAAGGAACCATGAAATTAATTTTATTTGCTATTAAAAGATATGAGATTTAGAATCCAGGATGTGATTATGTAATTATAAATTAATTTCAGTAGCATGCTCTCATCTGAACTAAATGTCAGCAGTAGTTATGAGAAGTAAGTTAATGAGCATCACAAAAGCTTGTCTGCTTACTTGCCCCGCCAGAGGCCCACGGAGTGGAGGTAAAGGCTCCTGATGCAGGAGGAGCTACTGTGGTTTCCTAGGACTCCCCACTGCAGGCGATCAGTTTAATAGGGAGCGACTATCTTTAACATGCTCCTACTTCACTAAAAAAGGAAGCATTAGAAGGGTATCCACAGGCCATACTCAAGTGTGGAATAAACATTAGTAATATAGCCGTTGAAATGTGAAGTTGAACGTTTCAATTTCAAAATGGTGTTCAAGAGCATCTGATGACACATCTATATTTTAACTCCAATGAAGTGTAAAAATTAAATGAATACTCCATCAAGTTCTATTTATGAATTTTGAACTCCCTGCTTAAATAGATTGTTTTTTATAATTAGGGTGGCACACCTCATTTGTGAAAAACGCCTTTCTGGCATTCACACACTGCTTCCTATTTCTCCTAGTCATTTTATTAATTATATATGTTTGCCAAGGAAGAGCCAAAGCATACCTAAATCTAGAATTAGCACTTGGGTTTAAGATAATAGAATTTGTCATCAAGCTGACTGCCTCATGTTCAGCCAGTGTCAAACTCAATGGTTGATATTTGTGCTTATGTAAAGGTCTCAGGAAAGAAGTGACAATTCTCATTTGTAATGGACCTTTTTCTCACAAATTGTTATTCCTGCCACTTTGCTCTTTAGAATGTGATGGGGGAAGCTGCGGCAGCTCAGGCTGCAGAGGAGCCACTAGGGGAGTGGTGGCTCTGTCCACACCCAGTGGAGGGACTCACCTAAGCCTCCCCGTGTATCTAGGTGTGTCCCATCTCTGCTTTCTCCGTGTGGAAGTCCGCAAGGAAAGTGTGCCTTGCCGGTACTTAAGGTCTTGATGATGCAAGGCCTTACTGTGTTTTCGGTGACCAAGTGGTTTGTTCTGTGAAGTAAGATGAGATAGTAAACTATCTCTTATAATCCTGAGCTAAGAGAGCAAAGCTCAAACAATTAATTGCTCACAGTACAGTATCCTGGTTTGTTTTAGAACATTCTTGGGCCTGCAGCCAGGATACAGGCAGGTTTCTACAGAAGGAAATGGTGACAGGTCAGTGATTCTGAACACGGCTACAGCTCTAATTTCACCATCTGGGGCTCTCACGTTTAGGCCAGGTGTAAGGTTCTTGTTGGCATAGGCGGGCCCCACTTTCTCAAAGCAGTGCATTCCTGAAATCCGTGTCATGGGGTAGATCTTATTCACTCAAAGAAACAACAGGATTGTGTTCTCGACAAAGGCATTGGCAGGTCATGAATCTTAAGCATATCCAACACGTGAGTAAAGCTAAACAGTCACACTCTAAATTTCCCGCCAATAAGCCCCTTCTTGGACAATAAGCCCCTGAATCAGTTAGGACACTACAAGGAACAAAAATATCCACCCTAAAAAGCATTAAGTAGTAAAGATAGTTCGTGTCTCCCAGAACAAGAATAGAGTGGTCCCATGCTGGCTGCGCAGCTCCTTTATGCCTCATGGACGCAGACTCTTTACCTCTCTGCTCTGTCTCTGTCCACCCAGTGCCTAGATCCTGAGCCATATCCCCTCATCGTTGCAAGATGGCTGGGGAACACACAAGCAAACAGTAGGCCAGAGAAGTGAATCATCATCGGCATTGTGTGCCTTGGTCAGTGAGTGAGAAGGTGTGCCCCAGAAGCTGCAGGCGGATATCCCCTTGTCCATGTCCTTGTCCAGGGAGCACCCAGGACATTATCCTAGACTTTCCTCCTCTCCGCTCTGTCCTCATTCTCTATGACCTGTCCATTCTGGTTTTAAATAATCTGCGCTCTACCCTCTAGTCCAGCAATTTTTCAACCTTTTTAATCTCATTGCACACACAAACTAGTTACTAAAATTCTGGGGCAAATCAAAAAACATATTTTTTGCCGATAGGACAAAAAAACAAAACAAAGCAGGTATAATGTTGATTCATTCACACCGAATGGCTATCTTTGTGTTGGCTATTGTCATTTTTTTTGACAATCTAAGGGAAACTAAATAGTCAGGTGTTGCATGTTTTAAAAATTCCTCTGGCACACTGGTTGAAAATCACTGTTCTATTTCTCTGTTTATTATGTTAATTCAGATCCTCATTAATGCTACCTGTTCTCCGTGCTCCCAGATTATCTTCAACAATGCCATTGAAATGATCTTTAAATCACAAATCTCATGATATCACTATCCTGCATAAAACCTTAAGTGGTTCTTAATCACATATGCAATTAAACTTCAGTTCTTTCCTCGCTGTAAGAATGACCTCTCCCACCTTTTAAAAAGAAAAAAAATCTTACATGGCAGCTCAATACAGCTAATGATGGCAGGAGAGCTGCTGTGGCTGAAATGGGGATGGGGAAGGGGCTCATAGCTCAGCCCGGTGGGTACCTCAGCTTCCCTTACGTGGAGACCCTAAAGCCTTTCCTTGGATCCTTGGTAATACAAGCAAATGGAAACGCCTCCTAGGCAGCTAATTTGGGCCTTAGGAGTGTCAATCAGGCTAATGGCAGAAACTTAGATGGTAGTGGAAGCAAAGGTTAGGAACGTGCCGAGTGAGACGGGAAGAGGGCCTTATAGAGAGACAGCTCCAGGAGTTGTCTTGCTATAATGCCCCAAGTTGTGTAATATTCAGTAACATAATGTTTCTATTTCATCTTTCAAATTCTAAGAATGTGCCTTGTAGGAGAATTTATGTTCCGATTGTGTTAGACAAGTCAACCCAATCAGATGCTTGAGGACAGAGTGAGGATGGTTGAAGACCAAAATGCAACTAATATCAAAAACTGAAAATAACGAATTGTATGAATTGTTCCTCTTTTTACATTTTCATTCTAGGGTAAAAGATCTTTGGTTTGCTTCAATAGCCCCTAAGATTAAGTCTTTTTTTTTTTTTCTTTTCACAAGTCTTTTCATATCAAAAATCCTGAATTAACCAACATTTCATGTGTTTCCAATTCTGAACAGCATAGTTTGGGGTTAAAAAACAGGCTTAAGAATGGAATTTCAAAAAGAACTGTAATAACTGAATATGCTAATTATTCTCCTTGCTCTTGCTAGCAACCTGTATTTATTCTGTATGTCTACTTAAGAATTCAGTCTTTTGTGTTGTTCTGTGAAAATTAAAGAGCTATTTAGATGCAGTTTACATTCTGTTATGGAATATGACTTTTCTTAATGAGGAGGTTAAATATTAACGAAGACAAATTGATGAATAATTTTAACAAGTAAGGACATTATCACTTTGATGCAAGAGCTTAAAGGGTTGCAGCAGGTATTTGCATACTCAGTGACAGAGTCAGAAGGGAGGGAGGAGAAAGAAGAGGAGCTGGACAGAGGGCATCGGCAGGTAATGAGGGCAGTTCCAACTAGACCAGACTGTCCCACTCTATTTACTTTTATCCATTCTCATTCAAAGAAGGGTTTGACAAGACCATGTCTGTTGTCTCTCCTGCGGGCTCCAGGCAAGCAGGCCTTCAGTTTTGCTTCCCTCTGACTCTGACCACTCCCACCCCCACCTCCTACCTGCGGAGGCCTCATTTCTGCCAGCACGGTAGGTTTTTCTGCTTCTGTCTTATTGTCTGCCTCCATCACGCCCTGGAGCTGACCTGTTTCTGACCACCAGTCTTTGCTGTCAGACAGCATAGGCCAGTTTGTCTAGGCAGCTCCCTCATGGCTCCTGATGAATTTGTGGGATCTGACTGCTGGCGTCTGTCATTTACTGGCTCTTCTAGGCTGTCCAGCTGAGGACCCCCTCCCTGTCCCACATCATCCCCACTTTCAAATGGAACTTCACAGAATCTCAGCACCAGCGAGAAGCAGAAAATACGTATCAATTGTCTGAGGCTTCAAACTGATTTTGATTCTCTCCTAACCTTTTAAAATGTGATATGTGTTTAAATTAAGAGGAGCAGAGACAAAAATGATGTGGGAAAGTGATAATGTTATCCTAGCCTATTTCAGTGACATTGTAACATGGTTAAGAAAATTGACTGTCAGATTTGATCAGTGTTGTTGAAGTGAACGAGCCGTCGCTCCCGGAGTGGCTGGAGTCAAATTCTCACCCAGCAGGAATGGTTTTAATGACTGAAGAGTCCAGTTAACATGCGAAGCAGCCTACCCTCCGAGCATTGCTGACCTCCTGCATTGCTTCTCTCTTTTATTCTTTTAGGTACCACGTGCTTGATTGCTCTACTATCAGATAAAGACCTCACCGTGGCCAATGTGGGTGACTCCCGTGGGGTCCTATGTGACAAGGACGGGAACGCCATTCCTCTGTCTCATGATCACAAGCCTTACCAACTGAAGGAAAGAAAGAGGATAAAGAGAGCTGGTGAGCTTGTGAACGCCTGTCTCCACGCACTGTCTACTGCCTTGCTGGGCGGACGGGGCTTCGCTTGGACAGCCCCTGGGGCGTAAGATGTTTAGTTACCAGTGGTTTGTGGGTCCGCACCGAGGCCGCTGCTGAAGTAGCTGAGACTGGACTTGTAACATTGCCTATCAAATACATGGCCACTGAATTTGCCCTTCTTCATGGCCAAAAGGTCCAAAAGTGCCCAAAAAAGCCCTTTACTAGTTTAAAGGCTAATGAGCTCTTTAGGCCCCTGCTTGCAATACCCTGCTCCCCTTCGGCACACCAAACCACTAACCATTCCCCACATGAACCGTGTTTCTGACACCTCCGTGCCTTTGCAAATGTCATCTTCACTGTCTAGCAGATAACAATTACATGTCCTATCAATTCAGTTTAAGGGTGTCCTTTTAGAAGCCTTCCCTATCACACTGAGCCACAGGCTCCCCTGGGCTGGGTTAGGTACCTCTTCGGTCTTTCCCCAGGATCCTATGTGGGCCTCTGGGTCACCTTTTGCAGTGTAGGGCTCTCTTATCTGTCTTGCCTTTCCAACTGTGAGCTCTTTGAGGCAAGAACTTGGTCTGTTCATTCATATTATCCCAAACCTCACTCAGTATCTGGTATAAGGGCATATTTTGAGGGGTGAGAATCCCTTTTTTATTCATTTTTGTCAACAACTGGGGGTTGGGAATATAAACTTAAATTACAGGACTGGGATGGGGGTGGGAAGTATAATAGACAGACATTAACAAATTAATAAAAATGAGTAATTTATATAGAGTATTACAAGATGAGACTATTACCAGGTGAAAACTGTCAGGGAGAGATGTAAAGCAGGTGAGGGAGTGGCGAGTGTCAGGAGGTGGTTTGTGTAGCCTGACACTGGGACAAATACTTGAGGGAAGATCATCAATTAATGGTTGCATTTTCCTGATGAGATTTGGTGGTGAGGGGGTGGGGAACGGTTCTTGTCTGCCCTTGAAAGGAAGGCGTCCCTCCCTCTCCTCCCCAGCCCGACAGCGGCAGTGTGTGTGTTGTAGTGTGTGTGTTGTAGGTGATACGCCCGACTGCAGGCCTGGCAGCTGGGGGGCGGGCCTGTGCCCGTGGTCTCCGACCAGGACAGACCCCTGCTGCCAGGGGTAACTTGCAGGTTAACTCTCAGTCTCTGCAGGTCAGCTTCTGCCCAGAACCTAGTCGACATTTGAGTTTTTGCTGTTGGAAATAATACAGTTGAGTCAAAAACTGGTGAATTTTATTACATCCCCCTGTTTCAGTGACTGCATGTGACACAGAATAATTTTTAATGAAAGCTTGGGTCAAGTTTTCTGTTCATGGGATGGAACAAACCATGTTTTAAGATCCTCCGACAAGCTTTGAGGAGCTGCAGGCAGTACGAGCGAAATACTCGGGCCTCCTTACTTACGAAGGCGCCGTCTCCCCACAAGCCCACTGTGACCCTGAATTAAGATACAGTCAGCCTCTTCTTGTGTAGCACAGGCAAGGCTGTGTATATATATGGCACACCTGGCAATGTCATCTTAGCACCCATCACTCTCTTCTGAAATGTCAATCCCATTTTATCCTCCATAGTTCATGCCAAACCCACCACCTTCACCCCTACCCTGCAGGGATGCCTTGTGGAAGCAAATTTGGAAACATCTCAGAGGGGCTGGATCTGATCCGTCCAGAGGGTCTTTTAGAGCCAGGCTGGAGCGACCATGATTGGTTTCATTATCTTTGGGTGTATTTTCTCTGACCTCAGCCTTCCTTACAACCAGCCTGGGCCAAATGCATGTTGGTCTTTCTGTCTCCATTCCTGGTGCTGTTTCCAACAACAGATACCAGCTGCCGTCAGGTGATATCACTCTGTGCTGGGAGCCAAGCCCAGCAATTTACATACACTTTCTCTTTCCCTGCCTTATGAGGTCAATAATGTTATCACTTTTCAACCAAGAAAATGTGACCTCCAAGAGGCTCGTGTACACAAGGGCACACAGCTAGTGAGTGGTGAGGCGGAGCTGAGACCAGGACCGGCTGACTCCACAGCTGTGCTCTTGCCCATTCCACCACACTTCCTGGCATGTTCTCATACAGCCCTGCCCATGGAAGTTCTACCCATTGTCCACAGCTCAGCTTCATGCTCACTCGCTCCTCCCTGATCTTCACAATTGCACATCATCCCTTCTTCCTCATCTGCCTATAGCATTTGCAGGTACTAGTCTCTCCTTGCAAGAATACCGCTTTGTACTTGTGGCTGCTAATATATGTGGACTTTCTTTCCTGCGAGGCTGTCTGCTTCTTTAGGGAAAGGTCTGGATCTCATATAAGTTGATGGCCTGCAAATTGCCTTGCATGGAGTATATGTTTAATAACTCTCTGACAAATAATAAGTGAATAAACAAAGTTCTAATTACTTTAAAGAAAAATAATCATACATAATATTGAGCACATGTTATATTTAAGGACTGTACTGAGTGATTTATATGGAATGATGCCTTTATTTCTCACAACACAATGGAATACATACTATTATTGTCCCCATTTTGTAGCCAAGGAAACTAAGGATCAGAGAGAGAGAGTTACTTATCCAAAGTCACACACAGCTAGAAGTAATAGAGCCAGAAATCAAATACAAGCAGTCTGAGCTGAGAGCTGAGCCTTGAAACACTGTGCTAAAATACACAGTTTACTTTTTCACCTTGATCCTATTTGGGGTGCTGTTTTGAGATCTATTCTGGCACACCCACAGGCCGTCGCAAGCTAAATGATGGGTCCCAGCGGCTGTCTCTGGTACCTGTCCACCTGCCCTTTGCCATTCTCCTCAAATCCCCATGCTAGTGCACCCTACTGTCAATCACTGGGCTATCAAGCTATCGTGAAGTTAAAACCAATGCTCTCATCCATACATATCACCTACTCTCAATATTCTTATTGATATTTTCTTGAAGTCTTTTAAGATACCAAGAATGAGGGTCTACTCGTTGAGGGCTGCTGTTCTTGCCCGGCAGCACCAGGGTAGGGTGAGGGGAGTGCATGTGATATGCCACATGGAATAGGTCCTCCTTTTGTCCATGTGCCCAAGCCGTACCAGGTGTATGAGGTGTCTCTTCATCAGGCTGATGAGTTCATTCTCTTTCCAGGTGGTTTCATCAGTTTCAATGGCTCCTGGAGGGTCCAGGGAATCCTGGCCATGTCTCGATCCCTGGGTGATTATCCGCTGAAGAATCTCAACGTTGTCATCCCAGACCCAGATATCCTGACCTTTGACCTGGACAAGCTCCAGCCCGAGTTCATGATCTTGGCCTCAGATGGCCTCTGGGATGCTTTCAGCAACGAAGAAGCTGTTCGATTCATCAAGGAGCGCTTGGATGAACCTCACTTTGGGGCCAAGAGCATAGTTTTACAGTCATTTTACAGAGGCTGCCCTGACAACATAACAGTCATGGTGGTGAAGTTCAGGAATAGCAGCAAAACCGAAGAGCAGTGAACCCTCTGGGGTCTCAGCTGCCTTAGACTAAAGGACTTTCAACACACTCGTCTCTTTTATGGTAGTGAAAGGTGTGGACGTTACAGTTAGGATCATTCATCCCAGATGTGGAATTCCCTCTCCCTGGTCATCGTAGGTCTATATTCGGTGATGATGAACAGAGGGTGCTCTTGGCTGATGTAGTTGAGACGCTGGAAAAGGTTTCTTCATGTTCCCCAATTCTTTCATCCAGTGTTCAAAATGTATAAGTGTATAGTTGTAGACTCACATGTATGAAGTGAATGGCATATGTGCCATATAGTCTCCCTTTTAAAATTCTTTTCAAGTTCCCTTAAGGGGCCCTGCAGGCATCAGACTTTGTGTCCTCTCTTTGGAGCCGTGAGCAGGGCAGGCCTTCTGGAGCTGCAGGAGACAGGCCACAGCGTCACCTGTGAGTCAGGGTGGCAGGGCCCTTTGCTGAGGTCAGAGCTGCCCCGAGAAAGCTTTGTCCTGTTGAGCCCAGGTTTCCAGCTTGGCAGCAGCCCAGACTCAGATTTAGAAAGGTTGCTCTTCCACAGTTGCTCACGGAGACTGAGGGGAGCGGGGAAGTTGAGGCAGCCTGCACAGCAGAAAAAACCTTTTTGCCCTCCCTCCCCTTCTTAGTTAAATAGACTTTGTGTACCACCTTTGTGCGTTTATCCTAAGTGTGCATGACCTTAACCTTTTTCCTACACCTTTATGTAATAGGCAGCTGTTAAACTTCACAGCCACACACCATGATCTTTTTGTCTTACGTTACTGAGAAACCTATTGGGGAAGTCAAAAAAGCAAATCGCAATATCATAATTCCTTCCGTCTGTAAAGGTAGATAAAGCAAAATAATGGCTGAGTCACTGTGTCCCTTGGGAAGACTGTTAGCATTGGAAGAAAAAGCTGGTGAGGTTAGCACCCTGAAGTGAGTTCAACTGCCAGTTTTTATACTTCTTGTTCCCCCTTCTCCTATTCTCAGAGCTCTCAAGTGTCTTTCAAGGAGTGTTCTGAGAAGCAGCAGCCTGGAGCTGCGTGTGTGTTCTTTGAAGCGCAGTACAGAGTTCCCAGCCACCTTTGGGATTTGGTTGTGAACTGCTGGGATGTGCTTCCCAGTGACGGTGGGAAGCAGCAGCTCTTCACGTTTGGCTGCAAATCCCTGTCCACAGTGGGTGGCTTTCCCCAGGCAAGCCATTCAGTGACAGCAAAGCCGTTTGGGAATTCAAGCTCCAATCTGCCCAGTTATTTTGGGGCCAGGCTTGCTGCTCTCCGTTTCCTATCACCAAAGTCCGGTTTCTAATCTCTGTATTTTATAAGTTAATTGACAGAAAATGCTCAGTCATCCTGTTTGCCTCACTGTGGTGGCTCAAACAGCCAGACTGGATTTTCATGCATCCCCACCCCTCAGTGTCTGAAATGCCAGGGTGTCCACCTCGTTCTGTTCTTTCGAGCCGCCGTTTGTCTTCATAGCTTCTCGCAGGCCCCGTCCATTGGGCGCCTCCTGCCCACGGTGCCCTCCCCTGCCTTTCCTCAGCTGTGGAGCTTTTCTGAAGCAGACTCCAGAGAACTTGGGAGGATGAAAAGATTCCCTTGTGGCTACTGAGTGAGGACGGCAATCTGTCTTGAGTCCTCCAAGCACTTACCTTTCTTTGACTATGAGAATCAATAATGTTTTCCCAAGAGATTTGCTTACTTTCTTAAACTGGAACCTTAGAATTATAACCTTGATTTTTTTTTTTTAGCCATAGAATGTTTTAGTACAAACTATCTAAAATATCTACCACCATTTAGATTGGAGGATTTGCCTATTAAGAGACACTGAACATCTGGATGTGCGTACTTGGGCTGGGGGGTCAGGCAGGGAGGGTGGGAAACGCGCTGACTGCAGTCAGTGACCGGCAGGCAGGCCAGGTGGCCTGAGTTTGCCTGGAGATTTAAGACGCCCTGACTCTGGAGAGTTACCAAAGCCCACCATCTAATTCAAGTTCAGGAATAAGCAATTTCTTCATCTTTACGCGGTCAATGTTCCTTTTTTATTTTTAACTTAACCCCAAATTCATAATCATAAGAAAAAGGCATTTTTAAATGCAACGATCATTGTTATTTATTGTCGAAAATGAAAACATATTGTTTGGTGAAGATGAAAAAGAAAAGCTGCTAAGCTAGCAAATCAGTGTGTGTTTGCCCTGCCGAGATCTCAGCAGGCGGTGCTGAGGCGGGAGTGCGTGACTTTTCCTCTAATTGAGGTTCACAGGGTGTTTTTGGAATTTTGCTTTGTAGAATTTATTCACTCCTGACTTGAACCAAGCAGTATGTGTATTTCCTGTTCCCCTTCTGCCATTTTCCTCTCATTTTGGCTTGTAGGTTTTTAAAAGATGGGAGTCCTAGGCAACGTGGCAGCAGTTCGATTAATGCATATTTTTACTCTCTGAGTATTTTGCTCCTTCCCCTGCCTCAGAACCCCCTCCCCCAACCCCCTCCAGCTGCTGGGCCCCCCAGGGCTCAGGGCTGCTCCCGTTTCCCAGGGGCAGGGAAGACTGAATCTAGCTGTTAGAGAAGTCGATTTGAGAAGTTTGCATGTGAAGCTTCCCTAAACAGCACTGCCAAAGCTTTGGATGGTACCCACCCATGCACCTTCCCCCGCCCCACCCCCGCCCCACCCCAAGGCTGCCCAGACTCCGGTAGCCCGAGTTCGCCTTGCCAATAGTCCCCATGGTGCCAAATTTGGGATGATTTTATAGCCTTTTAGAAATGAAGCTGGGAAGGAACGACCACATCTTTATGAGCCCCCAGCAGGACGCCGGGCCCAGGGTCTGGTTAGCGCTGCCCTGCCGCCGCTCTGCTGGCCCATCCGGGAAGTGGGATTCGGGCGGCGTGGGGGGAGGGGGGAGGGGGGAGGCAGGGACATTTTTTAAAAATTCATCGTATTTGCAATTCTTTTAATCAAAGGAATAAACAATACTCACATAGAAAACTCTAAAGCTAGTTCCCAAGACCTGCCTTTATTTTATGTGACCAGTTAGTCCAAGGCACTTAACTCTGAAATCACTGTTCTAATACACACATGTGCACGTTACTGGTTACAAGTGGCCACATGCTATTCCTGCCTTAGATCGAAGGTATTGGCCTCTTGAATCTTGTCTATAATCTCTTCTAATAAGAGTATTACAGAGAGTGTTTTATAGAGTGAAGGAGCATATGCAATCCGGATAATTTAAAACAGGCCTTATTTCATACATCTGCAATGACTTCAGCCCATGTAGTACACATTCTGTGCAAACAGCATTGCATGAGAGTGATGCCATCATTGTTTTAATACTACCTGAAGTAAGTTTAGGAAATTGGTTACACTGTTGAAATGGATCCGTGGGATATCTGGCAATACGTGAAGGATTCACAAAGGCAATGATCATTTTCTTCCGTGCCAGGTATATACCTTGATTTTTTCCCCTGAGTTGTTGCCTGATCAAACTCTCTTGCAACTGTGTCAACGCCAAAGGTTTAGAAAGGGCAACGGTTCATTGTACATTTGAAAATGTGGGAATACGTACTCTGGATAAAACATTATTTTCCAATGATTTTGGAAATTTCTTTCTTCCTTTTGACCCATCCTTAGACTGATCTTCTCTTCATATTCCCCCCCAAATTGCCTTAGCTCATCACACCAGCACTCCTGACCCAGAAATGATGTGACTGTTGGATACATACCGGGACCCGTTTACTGCCCGTAGGTGAAATCATTGGCCTCGAGACTTGAGCTAGTTAGCTACACACTGCAGGAGTAACAGAATCCCAGGGTTTCCCAAAGTGAGTTCCACAGAACACAAGTTCCAAAGATACTCTTCTGAATACAGGGGTTCCAGGTCAAAGGAGTTTGGAAAACATATTAGCTTAGAAAGTTAGTGCATATATGCACATTGCAGGTTCTAATCTAAATGTTCTGGGGGTAGGGGGGGGAGGAGGGGAGAAACATACCACAGATGTTATTTTAGTTAGCTTAGTGGTTTCCAGATTTATTTGACCACAGAAACTTTGAGAAACACTTAATAACATCCCAAGGAGCTCGTGCTCCATAGGACCCACTTTGAGAAATCTTGATATATGGAAATATTACTGTTTTCTCATTCACTTTGACTCTTTGTAATTGCAATACAATTTGCCGTCGAGAAGCACTAATGCTGTATGAGGCTGATCTGTTAATGAAAGCAGTATTAAGAAAGAGTACCATTTACCGTGACCATCAGCAGCCTCACATAGCAGAAGCCCAACCGTCCTACTTAAAGCTCTAACAATCGCCTTCCTTCTTTCACGTGAATAATAAGCAAGAGCCATGCTGTACCTGGGGGTGTTGCAAATTAATCCCAGGAGCTTTCTGTTGCTGTTTTGAACTTATCTGTGCCATCCAGAATGAATCAAAATAAATATTTTTACAGTACATTACTATGTGAGAGTAAAAAGATGTTAAAAATAATAGAAAATGAAGAAAAAGTTATAAACTATTAACATTTATTTACTTTTTCTTCTGTCCTTTCCAGATTCAATGAAATAATTTTAAACCAATCAGAGCTCATTTGTTCTAAAACCCCTGTCCCACATTGTCCTACGTTGTCTCACCATTCACTATTATGTCTATAATTAAGTTTGTCGAGTTATCTCTTGCCTGAAATATCAGGCTTATTGTCACTCTCAACCTGGACAATGGGTTTGAGAAACACTGAAAGATGATCCCAAAATAACAGATGAGACAAATCCAGGCAAAAACATGGTACAAAGTGAATTTAGGGTAAAGTCATTAACTTAAAATCACATCCAATATCTAGGAATACACCCACCCACTAGACATTATCCACATTATCTTTTCCACTGTTCAGCTGAAAATTGTGTAACCAAGGGTTGAGTATGATAATATTTATGTGTTTAGTGATAACACATCATCATTTGTACAATCACTTGAATAAACCCAAGTTAAATACTTTAAAGGGAATGTGTGGTAACTTCATTTTAACAAATCATCATAGGCATTTTCACAATTTAAAACCCCGCCAAAAAGCAGGCAAGCAGCAAAGATGTAGGTTATATTTAGAGGTGTGGTTCCATTTATTGTACAAGCCCTAAATATAATCTGGCCTCTGACATTTGCCAAATCCAAATTAATCTCAAAAACCTCCAGGGACCAGTATCCCTAGCTCTGAGCAAGGCAGCTTACTGCAAAGGCTTGGTGGCAGAGTGTGGCAGGGCAGGACAATCCTCCAGGGTTACTAGCTGCCTCTGTAGGAGAGGGACTGTGTATCTTCCGCCTTTTGTCAAGAGGAAATTGAGAGGCTAAATGTGATATCATGCATTATTATCTCAGCAGGTTCCCAGATTAACTAGACAATGCATAATTTAAAATGTGTTGATGCAGAAGCAAAGGTATTGGTGAGGGGGAATCTTTAGGATATCCAGATATTAAAAATGTAAAACATAGGTTATTTAAATTTTGGATTATCAGACTTTTACTATTCACAGGTTATATGTAATAGCAATTTTTGACATCAGCGCATGGATTAGTAGAAAGCAGGCTTTCCCACTTGGCACCTATTCAAATGCAAGGTTTCCCATTTACAGTGTTGACTGATTCTTTGCTTGCATGTTAATGAAAACAGAACTCTAATGTTCCTTCCTATTGGACTGATGGCACAGGCAGAATCACATTTTAGGAAAATAGTTTGGAACATTTTTGATCAAAGAAATGCAAAAGTAATTCCCACTGTGATCAGTCAGGATGTAAAGAAAACACTTTTAAGAAAATGTAAAAGACAAAATCAGAGGAGAATAATATAAAAGGAAATATTTTAAATTAAGGAGACATGCACGATATTTTATTACATCATGAATCATGCTTTCTGCTATTAAAGAGTTAACACTGAAGTAAGAAAATTAACATTGAGTTATTGTAAAGTTAGTAGAATTACAGTCCCTATTTTATGCATCCCCAGTGAAAATGGATATATTTGGTCTTATTTATTGCTCTCCTAAATTGCCTTTACTATCCTAGATTCTGTTCACTTTCCAAATCTTTGACAAGGTTTTACCCTGAATCCTTAGAATTTATGCATTTTTGAGGAGAAAATGCCCCTTTTAGAATTTTTCAAAAATAATACAATAGACTAGGTGATAGACCTCCCATTTTATATAGAGTACCAGATAAAACAGGTCAGATGCACAGTCACAGCTACAACTGAGAGTGTGTTTTAATATCCTGGTAATTTTTCACATGCCAGCATGAGTGCCAGTGAGTTCTCAATTTAAAACAGACAATTTCAGTAAAACAAACTACCAAGTGATTTAATGTTCTTGCTTCTCAGAGATGGTTCTAATCCATATAATGCAAATGGTCATGTTGACTCATATAATTTTTTAAAATTCTGTAGAAATGATATATTAGACATCTCTACTCCAAGAGAATGGTGTCGTGTACAAATTTTAAATTACCATCTGCCTTGGTCTATGTAAGGACAAATGACTTAGTTAAAAATGAAAGGGTATAAAATCCTGCTATGGGGGCGGGGACGGGAATCTAGAACCATGGGACTTCAGTAAGAACATCCCTACTTATACCCTGGCTGATGTGGCTCAGTGGAGTGAGTGCTGGCCTGCAAGCCAAAAGGTCACTGGTTCAGCTCCCAGTCAGGGCACATGCCTGGATTGTAGGCCAGGTCTCCATTTTGGGGTGTGTAAGAGGGAACTGATCAATGTTCTCACACATAAATGCGTTTCTCCCTCTTTCTCCCCACCTTCCCCTTTCTCTAAAAGTAAACAAATCTTTTAAAAATATACCCTTATTTAGGTTCCAAGACCAAAACCAGTCTTTATGTGATTATCATCTTGATTGCCATTATACCTCAGGCATATATTCAGGAAATTGAATAATAAATACAAAGATAGAGAAAACCCAATAACTTTAGTTTCTCTTATAGAAAGCATTGTTTTCCCTTTTAAACTTATCTGAAGTACATGTTCATATTGAAACATTAACATCTACAACATTGTTTTCAGTTTGCTGTTCAATTACTAAATCAAATGGTTTTGATTTATAGCACTTAACACAGATTCAATTCAGATTACAGAGTTGAAATCTATTTTGCAATGCCTCAACATTCCTATGGTCAGCCAGAAAAAAAGAAAACAAAAACAAAAGAAGAAATTCTAATGAGTTCAAAAGAATGATTATTTTGACAAGCCTAGAAAATAGTAATGAAACAGTTAATTCTAAAACACCACAACATGAACTGTGTTCACATACATAATTCCTACATGCCAAATGTACAAGGTGTATTTCTTTTTAATATAAGCATCCTTGCATTTATAACAGATAGATCTACCTTATGAACAAATTGAATTTGGAAAGTCACTATTTCTGCTGTAAGCAAATCTGCTTATATATTTTATTCTTCCCTGTATCAATTTCTTTTTGCTGAGCACTTATCTTGTGCCAAGCAGAGGTAGCCTAATGGAGTCTATCTAGTGGTGAGCACCCAGGCACCATCCCTGCCTTCTTGGCACTTGTATTGGAGGCTTCATAGGTATTCTGATGCTCAGTATTGGCCAAAGGGGTGAAAACCGGCGTCTTTCATGATTTTCTCCACTGGATTTAGATTTGTGAAGACAGGCAGAATTAGAGTCATTCTTTCCTATACATAATAGTGAATGGTAAAAAGACTGAGAATGTCTTGCCCACATCCAAGCAAATTACATCAGACAATTACACAGTGTTTGGTCACCTAAGTTTTCCAAGGATGGCCTGGGAGGTGAGATAAAAAGATGGGGACCAGGGCAGG